GCCAAGCTCATTAACTGCCCGCTGTGGAGAGCCCGTCCCAGGAGTGCTCTGCAGAGGGATCAGTTCTCGCTAATCCCCTTGGACACACTGGGTTAACCCCTGGCAGCGGCTCCTCTGGTGTGGGTTGTTCATTCACTCACTGGCCACGCCAGCACCGGCCCCTTCACTGCGGGGCTCACCCTGTACCCCCTGCAGGAGCCCTTCCTTTGGCTGGTGGTGGGGAAGGCACTGCTGGATGCTCAAGCTCTTGCTTGTTCTCTCCTCTCCAGCCATTGTACAAGGAGACTCTCTTGAAGAGATCTACAGCAAAATCAAACAGATCATTGAGGACCAATCCGGGCATTACATCTGGGTCCCGTCCCCAGAGAAACTCTGAAGATGTCCCCCTCCTGCTTCCCTGCGAGCAGAAGATCTCTCAAGTCCCACCTCACCCGAGCCCTCTGCCCCGAGGGGGGGGATATGAAAACTATTCCTGCCCCTTTTTTAGATCGTCGCAAAATTGAGTTTTCTAGTCCTGTTTCTTTTGTTGGGATGAACTCATCTCATTCATCACGTGACTGTTCCCGCTGTTCCTGCATGGACCTTCCCACTGCTCCATTAGAGACAGATGAGAACCCATTCAAGGTCGTTTTTTATTACTATTATTATTATTATTATTATTATTATTAAATCAAGAATCGACATGGGAGGAGGTGGCTGAGGACTAACGTAAGGAACGTAAGGAACAAGTGAAGCGATGGACTCTGAGCACATGAGCTAGTATCGGAGCTCCAGGTGCATTTTTCCAGGTGTGACTGTCGGGCAGCTCTGAACAGTGCGACAGAAAGGCAGCAGAAAGCATTTTATTTATCTGTATATGTAATTTATATATAATATAGAGAGAGATATTATATATATATTATATATATATATGTGGACGTGGACTGGGAAACCGGAGGGACCTCTCGTGAAAGGCACCGCGTTGTTGCAAGGAGCTCTCGGCTCCTGTGCCCCAGCCCTGGGCGAGGGGAGCCCCGTGGGCAGGAGGAGCTCAGCCGGTCCCGGGCGCCTCGGAGGCGGCTCTGGCCGGGGCTGGGTCCAGGTGCATCCGTCACCCTCGGCTCGCGGGGCCGGGGATGCAGAGCAGCACCACGAGGAGCAGCTGCTCCGGAGCCGGCCCCAGCAAGGGAATGGATGATGCTACGTATTAAATTGCACATTGTTTTCCACACCACGTACGTGTTTGCATGAGAGGTTTCCTTTTGGTTCTATTTTTTTAAGCTGATTTTAAACCAAAACCATGTTGTGTTGCTGTGTTGGCTGCTTTTTGGTTTTTGTTTTTTTTTTTCCCACTGTTTCATTTTTTTTCTTGTTAATCATGAACTGAATGGGTATAAAATCAATTTTTTTAACTTACTTTTTTAAACTGGCTCTCTTGTAAATAGAATCCAGAGCGACAATGGTTAGTTAGGAATTACTGTACTGGCCACGTGGAACAAATGTACTGGCTGTCCTGTGTTGCTGTGGGAAACCCGGGACGTTGGGCTGGCCCTGTGCCTGTGGGTGCAGGTGAGGTGACCCCTTCCAGCTTGGGGCAGTGCGCTGGCATTCCCTCTGCATCAGCCACAGGCAGGAAGAGCCGCAGCTGTGCCTTGGACGGACACACACTTCCCACATCAGAAACAGAATCGAAGAGCTGCTTCCCTGCTCTGTGGCACAGTCCCAGCTCTGCAGCCTTCCCAGGGGAAGGTCCATCCCACACAGCAGGGACGGCTCCAGCTGCTTCGGGAGCTGGGGCTCTGCCTCTGCCGCCTGTGCATAAATCCTCCTCCTGACACTGGGCTCTGCTCCCACTCTCAGGGTCCCCTTAGGAGACCAAGCCGGGTGCCCTGTCGGGCAGGGGCTGCAGAGCTGCACCCACTGCTGCACTTGGGGGTTTTCAAGGGAGGCAACTTCGCTGGCCCCGAGCTGAGGAATGTCTGGCTTTGAGGACAGTGGCTTCCACATCATGGGAAGAGCCTTGTGTGAAGCTGTGGGGAAAGCTGCGCAGCCTTGGAAGAAGAGCAGTGTTGGTGGGTACTTGTAGCACAGGGAGAAGAGCTCCCACCTGACAGAGGACCAGTGAATGCTGTTTCTTAGTCACAGTGCCAAGCACCAGAACAGAAGAGGTTACCCTATGAGCAAAGCAGGTAAGTCTTGGTCCATTCTCGCTCCCCTGTTTTACTGGGATAAGTGAGGGGTGCTGGTCCCCATTCCTGGTGGCGGTGGTTATCAGGGTGTCAGTCAGTGCAGGTACGCACAGGCCACAGGAACTGCTGTAGGACTCTGTACAGCCCGGGGAGAAGCTGTTGTTACTTCTCCTGCACCACACGGAGCCATACGGGGACCGAGCTGCTTCCCAGGACACAAAGCGATGCTGCAGGAAAGGAAGATGCTGCTGCTGCTGCGGTGGGACTGACCTTACATGAGGAAACTTGGCAACGGATTCCTGCCCCGCTGGTCCTGCCTCAGCTTCCAGTGTCAGCCCCTGGAGAAGTGGAGAGGGTGAAGCAGAAGCCCTTGAACTGCCAGGGACACCACTCCTGCCTTCATTTTCCTTTTCCTTTTCTTCCTGTCTCCCTCCCATGAAGTCACAAGAAGAGGATGTACTCCATGGCATAGCTGATGGTTTCGAGTCAATCAGGACAACGCTTGTTGGTTACCAGTGCTTCTTCCAAGGAGACGTATATTTTTAATAAACAGAGAGTTACAAAGAACTCTTGAGACCTTCTTGTTGAGTCCTTCACTGGGTGCTGGAGCTGGTTTCTGGTGCTGATCTTAGCAACTCTCCAAGCTGCTCTGTCCATGCAAAGTGGTAACAGTGGCTTAAAACAATAATAAAATGCTTTTTTTTGTAGCGTAAGGTGGTCCCTGAGAACCTGTCTGAAAGGAGATGAGATGGGAAAACCACAAAGGAAGGAATGGGCTTGTCTGCTTATTTACAGCCATAACCAGGCCACTGAAAAGCTCTTCTAGGTGAGTGCTTGTAACACACATTGTCTCTGGTCTCAGACCATAGGTGTATTTTGGGTCAGGGCTTGTCTTTACAAGGGGACTTTTCATCAGGTACTGTAGTGACAGGACAAGAGGTGATGGGTTCAAAGTGAAACAGGGGAGACTGAGATGAGCTTAGGCAGAAGCTCTTCCCTGTGAGGGTGCTGAGGCGCTGGCACAGGGTGCCCAGAGAAGCTGTGGCTGCCCCATCCCTGGCAGTGTTCAAGGGCAGGTTCAAGGCAGTGTCCAAGACACAGGGGCTTGGAGCAAGCTGCTCTAGTGGAAGGTGTCCCTGCCTGTGGCAGGGGTTGGAGCTGGAGGAGCTTTAAGGTCCCTACCAAAACAAACCAGGCTGGGATTCTATTCTATGTATTCCAGCTCAGACACAGCAGCTTTGTAGGGTTTAAGCACATGGTGCTTAGACACAGGGAGCGGTTCATATGGTGCTTTATCATTGAGCTACTTCAAAGGGGAGAGGAGTTTGGGGTTTAAGTCTTGAATTGGATGTTATGGTTTCCTTTCACACTGCACACGGGAGGAGGGAGGTTTTAGGGGAGCAGTGGTGTTGTACCAAGCATGGGCATGGAGACTGCAGACACGTCCCAGTTTATGAAGCTCATTAACCCGAGAGCCACCTCAGTTCCAGTGCACAACCTGAAAAAGCTTCAGCCCTCTTCTAATTACCTTCATTTCACTTCAAATAGCCACGCTTAGTGCTGGCTGCCTTTGATGAGTGTGTGTAATTACTGCTGCACTCACTGGGCAAGCATGACCTTGTCCTCTGGTACAGCGTGACACCTTCACCTGTGAATGTGCTTGCACAACTGAGAACTAGTGGCCAGACCAGCCCCTCTTCCTGCCCCTCCACAATGCTCAATGCAGCCACATTCCTTGTGGCTCCGTGGTAAAAATACCCTCTCCCTGGACCCATTCCCCAGGTCACTTTGCATTTCCCTTGTGCCTCCTCTAAGGCTGTTGCTGCTCCCCCCAACAGTTCAGAAATCATCAGATGAAGGAAAAAAAAAAGGGACATAAAATAGAGCCTGGGAAAGGGGGGACGTGTGTGAACTCCTGCCCCTGAGGGTCCAGCTGTGGTGTCACAAGCAATGAGGAACTCTACAGCTGCAGCTTCCTTCCACACCGATGTGTCCACCAGAAACTGCTGCTGCAATGCTACCCTCTGGAGCAGCCTGTGAGCACCGCGGGAGGAGCACCCAGTCTCAGCCTTTTTAAGCCAGCAACTGATTTATATCCCAGTCATGAGGTAGGCTGCTGAACCATAAGGCAACGTTCAGCCTAGTGAAATGAAATAAGCCCTGGACCAGCCTGCACTGACACTGGCAAAAGCAGTGCACAGGCACCTGCAAAGCAGAGCGATTGCAGGCAAAGTGCCTGTTGGGAATGGTCACTGGAAATCCAGCTAACTAAGGTCTGATCCAACTAGGAGAATTCTTGTCCTACTTAAAAGCTATGGAAAACACTAACTGTGACTCCTGTGTGACAGTCCATAGATCTGATCTAGTAGTTTGAGTTCTCATCAGTAAATCTGGGAATGTAAAATATTTAATAAGTACAGATTAATTGGTGGTCAATACTGTTTACTATTTGTCAGTTAAGCTTACAAAATGGATCTTAAATTGTGCCATGCATGCAAAAAATGCTGCTTACCAAGCCGTGGTTGCCTGGTGTCAGGTAAGGGATCTCGGCCTCAAGGGGGTAACCATGAGAGGTGGCCCTGCTCACCAGGAGATCCCTGATTTATGTAGCAAGGCAGCTATGCCATCCAGAGGAGACGCCTGGTCTTGGAATACTTTTAATGTTCTCATTGCCACTTACTACTACAGCCAGGTATTGAACTCAACCTGTTACACAAGAGCAGACTCATCTCTTTATTTCTAACTGTTAAATACCTGCAGAGAATGAGAACTACTGCCTAGAGGAAAACAATTCCATTCACTCAACAAAGACTTCCTTAAAAGTACATAGCTTAATCACTAACAAGGAGATCTGGCTTCTCTTGCACTGCTCCCCTGACACCACGCTTCCGTAGAGCTGATGGCCTCTTTCATCCAGCAGAACGTTTCCAAGGGATACTCCTGTCCTCCTTTTTGCAGTTGTGACTCTCATTATTCTTGCTCGTTTGAAAGAAAGCCTTTTGCTCTGTCCAGTTTGTCCAGAACCTCACTATAAAGGCCAATCATCTGGAGAACATAAGCACCACAGTTGTCAGTAAGGATGGATAAAGTTCTATCATTTAACTAGATAATACAAGAAAGCAACAGGGAACAGAAGCAAGGGCATAAGTGGGAGATTACCACCAGGTTCTAAACTGTTCTAAAACTGATGTCAAGATTTTGGCACAGGTTAAATACAGTGATTTAAGAAAAAAAAACAACAGTTAAATCACTGCAGCCTGACAAAGGTAGGTTTATTTATACTGCCATAAAGCATAGTTCATAGCTGAGTCTTATGTCAGGGAACCACAGAATGGCTGAGGTTGGAAAGAAGTGATTATTGTCTTAACAGGTGTACTTAACATGGTACAAAAACTGTGACCAGCTCTTGACTGCCCAGCTCATGCATAAGAGACTGAATGATGTCTGCACACGAGCTAGGCTGAGCTGTGCTGCAGTCTGGGTAGGAGCACCAACCAAAAACCATAGAGAAGCTTACTTGTGACAGAGTAACAAACGGTGTCACTGCTTTCTACAGAGATACTAGCCCTGAAACTTTACCACCAGCAGAAGTGGCTAAGCTACACCTGTAAAGATGAGCTTTAAGATGATACTCACATCAGCTTAAACCCTAAAACCTTGGATTATACTAGAAACCAGGTCTGAATGTGTTCATACAGCTGATCTAAGTAAAGTGGTACAGCACTTGTGAAAGCAAGCAACGTACAAGGGTTCTCCTATGGCCACAAACAGAAGTTTTATTTCCAGACAGGCATTCACATGACCCTTCCAGTAAAGGAGACTTCATTACACTTTCTATTGTCTATCAAAACTTTGCTGGTCTCACTTTGAAAAAGCCTTTTAGCATCAAGCTCTCCCAGGATATTTAGGTACCATGAAATTCTGCAGTGCTTTCTGCAAGCAGATCCATATCTAAAATTCAGGCCAGACCTTAAATCCGACATCCTCAAATCCATCTGCTTACACTTACTTACATGGCCTTCATAGGTTTTCTTCAGAGATCCTAAGTGATTGAGGAAGCGCATTCCTAATCCACACCACTGCTCAGCTTCCCTACATTTCCCAACAGTATACTGAAATACTCCCGTATTCCATGCTCTTGTCATCAACCAAAGGATCTCCATCTCTGGGTAAGCATCCTGGAGTAATAAAGAAGAAGCAATAGCTCATAAGAAAATGGACTTTTCACTTTAACCCTGACAAGTCAAGAGTGCATTAGAGTTTGGTTTCAAAGTGGGAGAACAGTTACTTGGGTTTTTTTCTCCTAAGCAAAGGGCAATTCCTTCAGAATCATCCTGTAATTCACGGTTCATCTGCACTACTGCCAAACACCTTGCTTCCAACATGGGTAAGTCATGTTGCAATTACCTATTGGTAGATCAGAAAATACAATTCTGTGGGACTGGAATGAAAGGTGCCTTTTTAACTGCAGAAGAGTAGCAATACCCTACAATACTTGAACGTGGTGGGAAACTGATTCAGCTGGAGAAGGGAAGGACAAGAAATGACTGATTTGTCATGCAAATCCTTAAGGGGAGGCTGGAAGGACTTCTTTCCCCTTTGATAGACACTTCTCATCCTAAGTAAGAGGGCCCAGAATGAATTTCTGAACGGGAGCATTCATTTCTGAAGAGGAGTTGTAAATCATGCGCGGTGCACCAGCTTTATAACTGATAACGGACTAATGGGATGCCCCAGTGTCCTCCTCCTATCACAGTGCCAATTAGTACCTGTTGCCATGAGCAAGACTGCAAAAGAAGGCCACCCAGTGCTGTAGAGTTTTGCTGTTGTATCAGTCCACATTAATATTTCATTCATAGCCCTCAACAAGAATATTAACAAATTAGAGGTGAGGACTTCAGTGGGAGGCAGGCATGAATGTGGGGACACTGATTTTCTGGGAAGTCAGGAACAACGTATCTTTATGCCACTTTCATAAAGAAGAGACATTCAAACCTTAACCAAAGAACCAGCCACGCAATGGAATGAAGCTATGATACATGGTATTGGTTTACTAGTCCTGAACAGGAATACTCCTTAACTCAAATTTTAAGTAGAAATGTCTAACTTCCTCAGTACAACTGGCTTCACTTACAGCATTTTGCTTCAGGCTTGAAAGGAGCAGCAGAAATGCTTAAAGAATGATTTTGCTCTCCATAAACCTGTCCTCACAGAAACAAAGCATGTGGTACCACAGGAACTGACAGCTCAGGTCTAGGAATCCATTTCTAGGTCATTTGAATAAAACAATAATGTAGTAAGTTCCCAAATACATTTAACAAGACAGAGTTGAGAACAAAAGCAAGTCTGGAATCCAGATTTTAACTGGCTTTAAACTGAGCTGGAAAAGTAATCTGCATTTGAAAAAAAACCCAACATATTCAGCGTGAGAATGTAGAAGCAAGAGGAGGAATGATGGGATGTCTCAGCTGCAGATGTTTCTAAAATAGGCACTGAAAATTTGGCCTTGAATGTCTCTAAAAAAGCCCTTACAAAATCCAGGGAACTTCATAATTTAGTCATAAATATCCAAGAAGCATTTCTTTTGAGGTAATGTCAGTGTATCTTCTGCTGAAGAAATCTTGGCTGCTCAACACATCACACCATGCACTGCTCACTGTACTCATCATTCTCAGCCTGATGAGATTTGTTATTTTTCATGTGCTCAGGATCATCCCCCAGCCTCTTGTACTCCTGTTCAACTCACTGTGCTGCTGATTATGCTCAGACCATCTTCAAAGTAGTCCCACACCTCCTGCAGTACACAGGCATCCAGGTCTGTTAATCCAGTTGGTAAAGAGAGATTTATCAAACTATGTAAGCATTTGCTGAGAATTGAAACAGAGCAGAAGAGGAAAGATTAAATACCATGTGCACCAACAGCCAGTTTTTAGCATCAGCAGCACAGTAACTTATGTCTCTGTGATTGTTACACAGACAGGTCCACCCTGGTGCTTACTACATTTCCATTATTCAAGCAGAAACATACATTTTCCTAGCATCAGATCTCATTCAGACAAACTATGCCAAAAGAGAGCCAAGAGAAGCAAGCACTTCATGAGTTTCATTGCTAGGCTCTAAAGTAACACAAAAGGAAAGAGAGAGTATTTTCTAGAGTGCTACATGTAACAGCAAGGAAAAAGTATGCTAACTTCCCAACAAGTAAGGAGTCAGCAGCCTCAGAAAATCAGTAATAAACACATGGCTTCAGAAATGGGGTTCTTCCTTCTCAACATGAAGGGAGAAGAGCAGTATTAACAGTTGCCTTTGCCCAGGGGTTACTGCAAGGAACTTGGAAAGGAGAAAAAGGTCCTTTCTGGGGTATAAATAAGAGAGAAGGACATGTGCCAGGTTGGTTTTCAGATTCCAGAAGGTACAGCTGTTAGAGAGTCAGTTACCCAGCAAACTAATGGACTGTGGCATCGTATCACTAACTTACAACTCTTGGCCTTCTCAGCACTTAATTTCTTTTGCTAATCATCTCTTCATTGTCGTTGAAATACCTAGTTCACTACTAGCAGGGTACCCTTTGAAATGAACACCTTCCTCACAAGAAACAGCCAGAGACCTCCTCTGGATACAATTTTCATTTTCCTTCCTCAATAGATTCATTTATGGGAAATAAAACTGTCTCAAAAAATATACCAGGAAGCACCTCCCAGTTTACACATCTATTAGAGAGTCATGACTGAGAGGTACATTGGTTGGCCAGCAAGAAGTGGAACCTTGCACATAATCTAAAACCCACTTTTTCCAAATGGCAGCCCTTATTCCCTGTCAGCATCTCCAGTCACGGGCTCATGGCAAAGCTGCATGTAACACTCACCTGAATTTCTCAACATCAATGACAGCCTGCTTTCTGTGAAGGTTTAATGCACTCTTGAGAGCTTTCTTACACAGTACAGGATACCGAGCTGGAGATTCCATTGCTAATGCTTAAAACCAAAAGGAAATAGAGAAGAAAATTACTGGAGCCAAACTTTCATCTCATTGGTCACTGAAGTACAGCATGATGCCTGCTTGTGATAAACAACTGCAAAGAGATGTGTTGAATGCCTCGGCTGGTCACAAGCTAGTGACCAGTCTACTACTTTCTTACTGTGCAGATCATCAGTGAGGACTGTAAAGCAGAAGCACAGTGCACTTCATAAGTACTCCCACTACTGTTTACTTCTGGTGCAGAAACCCAGAAATGTTGCTGGGGGAGGGTGTCTAATGTAAAGAGTTTTGTTTGTGTCCTTGAATATAAAGACCTGATTGGAAAAAAAAGGCAGGGGTGAGATGCCAGTATAGTGTTTTCAAGCCCAGGTGGGTACTCTCTTAAGACAAGAGAGAGAAGTAGGTGTTCATGCAGTCCTACAGAATCACCTCCAAAGATTTGCCATGGTACTTCTAAATTTTATTCATCTTCATTTGATCCTACTCTAGATTCTCAAGGAGGCATAACTAGGACCTTGTGATGAAAGCATGGTGCAGTACAGAAAAGTGCTACTTACATATTGACAACAGTAATCTGAAACTGTATCTATCCAAAGTCCACATCTTAAACCAACTTAAGCCATCGATCAGCTAGCGTCATTGTCTGGCCTTTGCCAGTTTGAAGCTTGTAAAAGTTTATCTGAATAATTTTTTCCACTCAGATGTCTCAGGGTCCAGAAATAGAAGGATGTCAGAAATTTCTGGTTCATCATCCATGTAATACAGTCTTTCAAAACTCAGATCTCCTGATCTTGCTGAGATCCTAAAGCAGCTTTGCTTCAGGACAACATACATATGGCTAGACTCATTTTCTGGATGCTGCATAATACCTGTTAACCCTGGTCACCCCAGTTGAACAGGAAAGAGCAACAAAAGTTGATTCATTACTTAGAGAATTATGAAAGCACAAATGCAGCCCTTACATGCAATAATTTCTAGTGTCTTGACCTCTATTTGTGGTTGCTCCCAAACTGACTCCATAAGGTTGTGGAGTGCTGGATCATTCAGTTTGGATCTTGCTTCAAATTCATAAAGCAGCAGCAATGTGTCTGTTGGGTCTTTAGCAAAATCTCCTACAGAAGAGCCAGAATTACCTGAATGTAGTGATTCATTTTCTTAAAGGCACGTGGTGTACCACAACGTATAAATTTTGCTTCCAACAGGCAGGAAAACCATTAAGGTACTCAGATTTCACAGCAGAGCAAGTGGAACACTGAAGCAGGCTCAGATGGAAGCCTCAGATGTCCAAAGCAAAACCCCACCACTATGCCTCCCCCTCAGTAAAAGCATCTGGCTTGTCCGTAAGTAGCTAAATTCATGCAACCACCCCAGGCAAGGTAACAGCCAGCAGGAAACCCTTTTATCACCTGCTTCAACACCCTTCAGCTGAGACAGCAATTCCATGCCCTGTACTTTTCATTGATACAGTGACTAAGTTGAAGAGTTGCACTGCTGAACAGACACACGCTGTAGCTTACCTGTTAGCTTCAGAATTTTCCAGATCTCCTTGCATGCCTGGAGATGCTGAAGAGCCTGACTCAGAAGCTCCACCTATTTCACGGAATTGAAGAAGTTATTTTTGTCATAGTTTAAAAAGAGAAAGGAATGTGCATGTCACAGCAGGAAGGATCTTTATACCCAGCTATAAAATAAATTAAGAACCTGCCTAATTAGAACATCAGCTACACCGGTTACTTTTCTTTTTTCCAAGACCTCCACAACTCAGACAAAGCCTCTTCACACCGAGCATTCCATTGGTCCAGAGAGAACCACTTGGGTTCCTATGAAAGCTCATTTCTTTTACTTCCCAAGCATAAACCAGTACTACTGAGAGTGACAAACCCCTAAATCCCACAACACAAATTGCTGTGCATTGCACCCCACAGAATAAGTTTCTACCACAATCATTGTACAGCAAACTTCCATGCTTCTGTCGTAACCACTTACATCTTCCTTCATCTTACCACAGTAAGTGCAGCACCCCCAAAAAGGAAGCATGCTTAAAAAGCCAAACATAATTGTGAGCCTCATCACAACCAGACTGGTAACTACTTTCAGCAATGGCATAATCCTAAAGATGCAGTAATTATCTGCCTGACCAACCAACGCTCAGCAGCAGACTCCTTACAAAACATTTTAAGGTAGGCTTAAGTTCCTCTAAGAGAAGGTACTGCCATGACCTTTGGTGGATAGAAATCTGTTTAACAGAAATGTAACGTTTATGATTGTTTGGAAAGCACAAGGTGCATTAATACTAATGAACTAGGTTCTCCTGCTTACATTCTTAATCTTTGGATGCTGGAGAGGGACTCTTCATCAGAGGCTGTAGCAATAGGACAAGGGGTGGTGGGTTTAAACTGAAACAGGGGAAGTTAAAGTTAGATATAAGGAAAAAAGTTTTCCCCTGTGAGGGTTCTTAGGCACTAGCATAGGTTGCCCAAAGAAGTGGTAAATGCCCCATCCCTGGCAGTGTTCAAGGCCAGGCTGGACATAGCCTTGGGTGACATGGTCTAGGGTGACGGTGCCCCTGCCCATGGCAGGGGGGTTGGAACTGGATGATCTTAAGGTCCTTTCCAATCCAAACCATTCTATGATTCTCAATATCCTGTTCTGAGTAAAAAAACCCTAAGACTTCAAACTCCACAGACAAAAAATGCTCCCTGGTACCTACAGCAGCAGTTACCTGAGCACTGCCCTACCTGTTCAGAACGTGGTACTGACTGTCTCCCCATTTCCAGATCAACTGCAGCTGCCATTAACAGACATGTCTTCTGGGCAATTAGAACAGCTTTGTCTGAAGGACAAAACTGGGACAACTGACACCAAAAACAGGGAAAGATAATGAGAATTGAGACCATATAAAGCAATTTTGTCACGGATAGATGATTGCTGGGTCTCCTCTATGCCACTTTCAGTAACTAGTCATAACTATATAGTCATACTGCAATTTTACTTGTACACTTACACAAGAAGGTATTCCAACAGATCTGGGCAGGTGACTATTCCTCAATCAGAGATACTATCAGCAAGAGTACATACCTTGAATGACAGCAGGAAAAAATCCCTCATCTTTCCAGGGCAGCCCCTGAGCTGTACAGCCAAGTTCCAAGCTAGTAAAGACATAAAAAAATGGAGGCTAGAGTACAAATCTTCAGCATTACAGGTATGCCCATCTAATCCCCAGTTACAGGCAGTTCATTCTACAATTCAATGGGCAGTAAGGGGGCTTTTATTGCTCTTAGCAGCATGTTTTTTTAGACACTGAAGAAAACCATTATTCTTTCTGTTTGCCTGATTTTAATTTACTTCTGTAACAGTCTTGGTAGTGAAAGGCTAAGAGAAAAATGGTGAACTCTTCAGAGTTGTATCATGGACAGGTACAATTCCTGTAGTGAAGGAAATAACATATCAGCTCTCCCATCAGTCAAACAAACCATGTATGACTCTTTGTCTTGAGAACTAACTTAAAACATGAGCTGTACCAGACAGTTTCAGCAGACAGGAAATGCAGCAGAACTTTCAGACTAGCTAAGGCAGGTGACAAGTTTTATAAATTTACTACATCCTTAAGCACTTCTTTCTTCCTCAAGGCTTGGCTGAGTGGAGGTGGAGGGGATTCAGTTTAGGTTTTGTGAGTGCCAACCTACCAACTTTCCTAAACCAGTGAGCTTCGAGGACCTTCATGTCCCCTGTAAATTTTTCATCTGTGAAAGACTCAGCAAGTCTCTTGTGAGCTGCAAAAAATGTGTTCAATAGATCAGTAACACCTTCTGAGCAAAAGAGAAACATTTCCAAGCCTAATAACTGCACTACAAAACAGATGTTTCCGAAACTCCCATGTAATTCCTGGGCAAGAGTTATTCTTACAACTTACATCTAACATGCTTGACCAGAGAGGATATACATACATCAAAAAGTTCCTCAAACAGCATTTTAGGTAAGAGAGATAAGACTGCCAACAGGTTCTGCCTTTTCAAAGTGTATTGACACTGAAGCATAATGCAAAGGAGTTTTACTTAATTACACAAAAAGTTGAGGGGTTTTAAACTGAATAACAGGTTTGAGGCCTTTCTGCAAGGAACCTGGAATTCATTCAGTTCTAGCCTTCATACTCTCCTAGCTGCAGAAGGAATAGCAAGTGTATCAAAAGCTCCTACAATCTCATTGACTTTCTTGTCCAAAGATGAGATTTAGAGAAATGTGATGGAGGAAAGGCCTCTCTAAAACTCCTGTACCTCACAAACAGGCAATTCTTTTTCAATAGGCAGCACAACTTTAAAGAGGGAACCCATTTTGACCAAGCCTCTCCCACCATTCAACAGTTTGCAGGTTTCTCGGCCTTCCAGGGCAACAAAAAAACCAAACCCAAACCATTGCCTTCATTTAAAAAATGCTCCCTTTTGAACAGCAGGAACAGCAAAGGCACCACTGTCGATTAATGTCACAGAAAGTTACCCCCTTAATTCAGTTTACAAAACCAAACTTCTTCCTTTTGTGGTAGCCCTGCTGCTAGAGATACTAAGCTTGGCCCTGCCAAGTGCACTCAGAGTAACAGACTGTCACTTGAGGCCATCCAGGTTGTGGCTTGTGCCCAAATATCTGTTGTTTGCATGCATGGCCTTATGAAGGATTAAAGGGAAACTGCCTGAAAGAAACTGTCCCTTTGCCTGACAGAAGCTCCCAAGTACAGGCTTTTCTAAAGCTTTCCCAGCACCAGCCTGCAAGCTTTCCATAGCAAAACTGTCTAACACTGAGATCCAACTTCACAGCACTGCTGCATCTCCAGTCTGAATTTCCACTGATTTCACGGTTGGGAACCTGGACTGAAACAGGGAGTGTAAACACTTGGTTGGTATGGAACTAATCCTGTAAGAAAATGTTCACAGATGGAAGAGCTACAGAAAATGTAAAGGAAACAAAAGTGTACCCAAGGTCAAGTAAGTCAGCATCGAGTTGATATCTTCACCTCTAGGATGGAGGAAAAATTAAGTTTTAGAAATTGTTCCATTAAGTTTCTTACAACAGAACACATTATTTATGTTGGAATACATCTCCATAACTATGTATATAACAATTGTTCCCCTAACAAACACCTTGGGCATTAGAAACTTTCACCATTTGAAGATGCAAGAGTACTGAAGGCCCAAGCTGCAGCAGCAAAGGTTGCTGCAGAAATGCAGTAGGAGATTCTCTCAGTGGTTGGAGCTGCAGGTTAAACTTCAAACCCCACTGACATCACACTGTTTCCTTAACAGTCAAAACGCTGCAGTACACTTCTCCTAAGCTAACACACCATTTGCAAAGTGGCTGCTCCTCAGCAAGGGAGGCCCCACTCTGAAGTTCTCACTCAGAACTTCAGAAAGATACCACATCCCAGTGTCAAAGTGCCTTAGGCCACCTTCCCCATCAAACACTCCTGACATTCTTACACATTAACAAAAGTTGGGAAGTCATCTGGGTGGACTTTTTACCAGCACAAAAACTGATCTCTCACTTACTCTGCAAGAAAATAAGCCCAGCAAGAAAATACGACCTCATCTGTACAACATATCCACCATCAGAAAATGATTTTGCAAATGGACTCACCTTTTCTCTTCATTTTCTGCCATGATTTTTGACAACGTAAGACGAACCAAACATCTAAATACGAGGAAAACAAGCAATGAAGAAACAAGACTTTTTTTCCAACAGTGTGCTTTGTCCTAATTTTCCAGAAAGGATCCCACTCTTCTTCCGTATGCTATCAGCCCATGAAACTCACAGAAGAACTCAAAATGTCAAACTGAGAATATTATACTGTTTCTCACCCTATTGCCTTAATTTATAAATCACTTCATTAACTCATGGAACAGCTAAGTAAATAAATGTACTTTAACACAGGTTTTAAGCAATTATGGGAATAAATACATCTGTCACAGTATTTGTTGTTCTAAACTTGATGGAATATTTCAGTAAAATAGTGCTCCATCAGATGACACAAACTGGTATTTTCATCACATATCACTGGGATCTCATTAGGGTTGCTGTTGCTCATCTGTTCACAAGGTAATCCTAAAATTCAGAACAACTAATGCTATTTGCTTGAGAAGGACTTGGAACACTGGTAGATATCAAAGTTCAGGCTTCAGATACATCTGCAGCACCAAAAAGACTGATAACTAATCTCTCATCTACTGTTTACCACCTTCTTCAATATAATACAGTCTTTTTGAAAAGAAAGCAGAAAAAAATATCTTTGCTTGTAAATACATTCAATTCTCACTTTAAAGCTGCAAATAATTGTCGACAGTCTTGTAAATGTTCAGCCAAATACTCCAAAGCTTTGATAGCCACAACTTGCTGCTCATTCTGAAAAGAAATTAAAACATGCGCTGGATAAACTGCATTACCTCAGTTACTAGCAAAAAATCCCAAAACCCCAACTTCTACTTTGCATAACACAACACATTTGAGCACCTTGGAAGCATGAAATACTTCAAAATGCATGAAATACATTGAAATACTAAAAGTAGGCCAGGTTAGAGCTGTCCTACTTATAGCAATAAAGAAAAGACAATGTTATCTACCTCTAAAGCAATTTGGGCAGCTAAACTCAGGAGGTTAGTGCCTGTATTTTCCTCCCCTCTCAGCTTGTCTTCATGTTGAGATGACTTTTCTGCTAGCTTCCCCATTTCAATAACTGCTTCCACAGCTGAAATATACATAGGAAACATTTAAATGTCTTTTTGTAGAAGCAACTGGAAGGTGCAAAGTTCCACGGCTCTAATGAGGCGTTAGCTACGACTTCTGAAAGGCTGTAATGTTTTTAATACGGAAAACCAAGACAAGAAAACCTGACCACAGCAGCACTTCCCCACAATTACATGTTTCTTCCTAGAGAGGTGCCAAAAGGCTTTTCAAGCTCCTAATCTAAGGAAACGAGGATGCCATACAAATTACGCTAGCTCGCATCCTTCATTTTGTTCTGCTAAATAACTGTCACCAAAGACAGAAGACTAATATATTGTCTGGGAATGATTCCAAGCTCCCACATCTTGGCTTATAGCAGTGTGCTGCTTGCTTTTATGTTCGCACTGTACTGTGGTTCCCACTCTATAGTATGTGAACAAATTAAGCTGTCATTAAAAAATGTATAGAGAAGAATTAATTGGCACAGAATACATCAGAAAATAAGCTCTGCACGTTACTCTGTGTTCTAAGCAAGCATAGACTGCAGTTCTTAATTTTCACTACTTCAGCTAAGATTCTCATTAAAATATGCAATAGCAGGACTCATTATCAAGAAGAAAGTCTACAGAGATATGTCATGCTGGAATTCATCTCAGTAATTCATGTATTTTCTGGTAACTTCAGGCTCTACTTGTCCAGAGAAACTAAGAGCAGCAATAATGGTTCTGTTAAGGTTCACTTATCTCAGTATCCTTTTTTTTATGTTGTATATGCACACATAAGAATATTTGAGCCAGTAAGTCTACAACGATGCTCACCCTGGGATGCTGCTATAGCTTCTGCCCATGAAAAGGTTAGAAGCTTCCCAGCCAGAGGATCCATCCAGACAGTATCAGCAATGGCAATGGACTCCGCATATTATAATTGTGTGTACAAAGAATCCCACTGTCAGTTGAAATCTACAGCCTGACAGTTTCAGTGACTCTACAGACCCTTCTTCTAGCTACCCTCTATGGTGTTTTGTTCAAGATGAACAGTCCAAATCTGCTTGGTATTTTCTAATCTATTCAGGACTTCTGTTCCTTGTAGTGAACTCCTTATTTTCCAAGTTCTACCTTTATTAGTATCTTTCTCCATCACTGCAATTTTATAGACACTGAATTTAGTAAAGATGCTGTTTGGATCACATCTCTCTGCTTCTTTAACTGCCTCTTTAGCCTATTCACAGAAGAGATTAAAGGAAATCAGTACAATGGCACTTAGAAATCAGTAATATAATTTGCAATAGAACAGAGCTAAAAAGATAAAGTGACTTTTCAGCAGGGCCTCTTGTGGCAGGACAAGGGGTGATGGGTTTAAACTAAAAGAGGGAGATGCATGCTGGACATGAGGAAGAAACTGTACAGTGAGGGTGGTAAAATCCTGGCACAGGTTGTCCAGAGAGGTGGTGGCTGCCCCATCCCTGGAGACATTGCAGGCCAGGCTGGATGTGGTTCTGAGCAACCTGGTCTGGCTGAACATGTCCCTGCCCATTGCAGGGGTTGGACTGGATGAGCTTTGAAGGTGCCTTCCCACCCAAACCATTCTGTGATAATGACATAGCTAAAAAAATAAACCCAACACAAATAAATCAGTATCTATACATATGTATGTACCTTGTCAACTTGTTTCAGGTGAAGATAGCAAGAAGCCATGTTCCTCTGCAGCTTAGCCAAGTTCTGATCTATCTGCCCAGGGGTGTAGAAACTGACAGAATAATTGTACCAGTGAAGAGCTTCAGAATAGCTTTTTGCCTGGGGAATTATAGCCAAACAAACAAACACCCTATTGGGGTGATCAAACTGTCCAAATTAGGATAATCAAATATATTGCAGTGCAAGCCTTCTCCTAGAAGAGTGCTCTACAGGTAACTTTCACTGTAGAACTGCCCCTTTACATCTTCCTACTCCTCCCTTATTCTATGGCCATTCTCAAAGACAGGATACTGGAATGAATGGGTCATCCATCTGACCCAGAAAGGTCATTCTTAGGACTAAATACAAAATAGAACTATTATTTCAAAAGCCCTCTCTGTTCACAATACAAGGCAACTGAAACTAGGAGAAAAAGACAAAAATGCTTATCCCATTTAGATTGAGACCTTTGATGATACTCTGCTGAACATGGTACTCCCAACGGTAGTTCCAATTTGGACAGAGAGTTTAGTTTAAAAGGAGGAGGAAGGAAGCTGTATCATCAGCAAAACTCCTTCATGACTACATAGAGGAGAGGTAATGAAATGCCACGTTTTGTCGTTATATTCAAGAACCAAGCATATGACAGAAATACAAGAGTAGAACATGAGCTCATCTCCCCCAAATACTGAAGGAATAAGAAGGTGAACTTATATATACTCACAGGAAGAATGTACATGAACTAAGATATGACGTAAGCATCCAAAACTACTTTACAGAACTAAAAAGAAAATCAATATACAAATGATAACAGTGCACCTCCTTACAGAAGCAACCGACCACCAGAGAGTAAGAATTGTAAAACAAACAGCTCAACATAAAGAATATTTTCAGGTTTTTGTACCATTCCCAGGGCAGAACCAGAATGCTGGGCTGCACAGGCTCCTTGGCTGATCAATTCTGGTCATAACTGTTCCCAGGTACAAACCTAAAGATGAGGCTACCTGAAACTTGATGTTGTAATGGGAAACAGCACCCAGCTGGCTGAAAATAAAACCAGTGCCAACTGGAACACAATTCTTAGTAACAGTTCACACTCCAACCAAAACCAGACACACCAAAGAGGTCAGAAAAAGCAGATCTTCCTTTTCAGTCATACAAACAATGCTGCTGTTTGGTCCCAAACCTCATAATGTTTGGCAGCCATGTCCCACAAGATGATGTGCAGCTGGTTCAAGGCTTCAGGCAACAGCCGTTTCCCAGTATAATAACCTGAAAAGATACTGCAAATCATCACTTTACAAGAACTTTAAGAAGCACACTGAGAAGCAACTGAGAACTCTCTGAGAAAGACTGTCCCACAGCCTACAACAACCTTGTAACAGTCTTCCAAGGGGGCCTACAAGAAACCTGGAGAGGGCTTTGGACCAGTGCCTGCAGGGATAGGCCAAGGGGAATGGCTTTAACCTGCCAGAGGGGAGACTGAGATGAGCTCTTAGGCAGAAGCTCTTCCCTGTGAGGGTGCTGAGGCGCTGGCACAGGGTGCCCAGAGAAGCTGTGGCTGCCCCATCCCTGGCAGTGTTCAAGGCCAGGTTGGACACAGGGGCTTGGAGCAAGCTGCTCCAGTGGAAGGTGTCCCTGCCCGTGGCAGGGGTTGGAGCTAGAGGAGCTTTAAGGTCCCTTCAACACAAATCAGGCTGGGATTCTAAGATTCTACGATACAAGAAAGAAACACCAACCCAGCAATAGTTCAGCCAAGACCCAGTGTTGCTGCTGGGGGAAAATCAAAGAAACAAAACAAAACCACAAACAAACAAACAAACAAAAACCAAACCCACACCAATACAGTGGGTCAGAGAAAACTGTTCTCATGCTTGAACAGTGCAAATGTAGCTCTTGCGCCTCCCTGGCGCAATAACATATGTTATATAAAATATGGTCTGATTTCCAGCAGATCTGACAGTCAAAAAATATTACAGTGTTACAGGTGCAAGAGACCTGAAAAAGAGACTGTTATTTAGGTGCTTAAAGAAGGATATGCAACATGGTTTAATACTGACAGAAATACATTGGGCTGAAGGGCCAAAGTATTAACATTACACAGAACTCTGATAAATATTTCTAATCCCACATGTATCAGTCACACACAGTCTACACTAAGAAGGAACAAGTGAATTTAAGACTGAGCTTTACCATGACTGTCCTTCATGATGGAAGTGGAGAACTGCCATAGAGAAGAAACATAAGGGAAAACAGACACAAATAGGAAGAAAGACGAGAATAAGCCAAAATAAAAGTGAAAATCAGAATTCAAGACTTTGGTCAACTAAATCCAGCTTTCAGTAAACAGCAGCAAAAAGATGGATACAGACCTATAATAATTTCTTCAATCTTCTGCTTAGCAAGCAGCTCTCTCTTACTCTGCAACAGGAACTCGATGTGGAGCAGGGTAATTCTTCCATGGTTAGGTGAAGATTCAAATTGTTCAGAAACAGACTTCAGAAAGTCAAAACCAACTGATTCCCTATTCACACAGATGCAGTTTTAAGAGGTTGCACAAGAAGAGCTGTTAATTTTCTATTCTGAAGAGTAACATATTCACACCATACAGCATGTTTCTCATTAACACTACTGGCAATCACACAGACAGAGTTAAGGTCTGAATTTACTGCAGTTCATCTATTTAGTTCTGACTTCATATCAGCACATGCTTGTTTCACAGTATTCATGAGAGTTTACTCCTCACAATGAAAGAGTACGAATTTACTGCAATATGGAAGCATATCCATAAGCAATCATGATGGAGCATTCAACAGCATGAAATGTCAACCCCAAGTTGTTTTGCAGGAACTTGCTCACCCTTACACTGTTTTCCAGTTATTCTAGGGCTCCTTCTGTGAGGTTTTATTTAAAAAAAGCATCAATGTATAACAGATGTTCTTTGCTTATCAAAGAACATCATGAAGCCCAAATATTGTGTTCACCCCACTTGGTGATGCTCTCATACCTTCCATGCTCCAGCAGCAGTTTGGCAGTATTCAGACAAAAGTCTAAAGACATCTCATGGTGCAGAAATTCTGCAACAGCTAGATAGAACAGAGCAACAGAGATTACTTATCAACCTGGACACTTACCTGCTCAACTTACCATTTACCTCTTACAACCTCTTTGGAATAAAACCCCCAATGTAATAGTTCTAAAACCAAAGGAAGATTAAAATGTGTCTCTAGTGCTTTGAGTTTCCTTTCACTGTACAGTTCTTGTAGTACTACAGAAAGGTGACAGACTGAGAGCCCAGGAATTCTGTCCCTGTGACTCTTTGAACAGGAACAGCAGAGGCATTAGTAGCACAAACTTTTGCCTCAAGCTGCTTTCCATCAAAATGACTCATCCTTACCCAGCAGGAACCACTTAAGACTGAAGTCAGTGCTCACACTGCAATGGGAACTACTTAAGCCTAATGCCTTTAGCATCAGCTGTCAAATTGACTGGTGCTGATAAGCAGGTATCAGTTTTAGACCACTCAGATACAGCTTAAAAATTGCTGGACCGTGCTGCATGGTTAATAACAAGATTTAGACATTTGTGGCTTGGATGAGATCAGAGAAGGAACACACAGGACATGACTGTAAGAGCTCTTGTTAAAGGAGGCACTTCTAAGGCACCTGTGTACAAATGCTCAATATAAGGTTTTAGACAAATGCCTAAAACTTGGCAGGAGCCTTCACTCAAGAGACAGAGAAGCTGCAGTGCACAGGCTGACACCCTCCTGCCAGCCACACAAGACAGCTCATTAGTGAATGTGCTGCAAAACTGACTGAGTCTTAGGGGTACTAACATAAGGTGAGCGCGCTGTGATAGACAGTACCATGGCTTCACAATTCAAATGGCACAACAGAAGCCAACTGTTGCAGTGGTAAGTTTTGAAAAACTGTCCACTGGAAAGCTTGCTGAAATTCCCCAGGAGCAATGTGAAATGGAATTCACAGTCCTGCTGGCCTGGCAGCATCCAAACCATTCCGCTCTCTGCAAGAAACTCCTCATCTCATCCTACATTTATTTCTCATAGGATTCATTATGCATCTGATGCTTTCCAACCATACAGAGCCTCTCTTCCTTAAGATTTCATTACTTATGGAAATAAATTTCTCCTTTCTATATTAAAGTCCCTCCAAAAACTTTCTTCTCTCATGCCTATGGAAAAATCAGTTCTCTTCAAATGGCAAGTTTGAGGGATAAGGAGAAAAGAGCTTATTTGCCCTAGGTAAATTAAACTGGTAATGTGGGTTTATAACAAGACGCTGCTGAGCACTTCATCTCTCTTAGCCAAAATCTGCAAAATCACACACACAGCGTAGCAGTGCTTCACAAGCCTTTCTTCCATGCTGTCTGTGTGAGAAACAATCTACCTTCACCCTTCCTGAGTAACCTGTGGCCTATGTCTAAAATAAGCCATACCTTTACATTGCTGTATTTTCACTGTCTTCGTTCTAAGAGGCTTCAAAGTCTTCCCTCTTCCCTATTTCCAGCAGATCAGTTTAAACCCCAACAATAATAAAACAATGCTTAATTCAAACTTACATTAGCACCTGGATAAATCCTCTGTGAACACTGACTACTAGGTCTCACACTCCAAAACCAGAGCAATATTTAGCTAATGAAGATTCCTCTAAAACACAGCAGAAAGGGATATATTTTTTTGTCTTTTCTATTTACAGCTGGAGCTATTTCTTGGCCCTGGCACAGTACAACCTTCATATGAAGCCTATACAGAGCCACGATACCTGAGTTGATATCTTCATCTGATGCTCCACTTTTAAGAAGGATTTTCACTTTCAAGAAGAACCCTGCTGGATGCAAATCCTCCTGCACAACGATAAACAACACGTTACTTGCACAGCTGGTTGTAGAATACAGATCCCATGAGAGTCCAGCACATTCCTAATCCACACAAGTATCAGGAAATCACAGAAATTCCGCTGTATCCTTTTTCTGGTTTAATAACGGAAACAATAGGCACGCAACTGGTAATATTTTCTTCTTAAATGCAATGTGCATCTGTATTATTTATTGTTATACTGTTAAAAGACTACAAGGGCAATGAAAGCAAGAGATACGTGATTCCCATTTTGCTGTTGCCCATTTCCAGTACTTTTAAATAGAAGCTGAACAATACTGAATCATAGAAACATTTCCTGCTTTTCTATGTGTGAACTGGCTGGATTAGTCTGGAATTAGCATAAGCAAGATTCAAAGTAGCTTATAATAATACAGAACTTAGGAAAGAACAACAACGGGCGCAAATGGATATAACGAAGCCTGTATGCTACAGTTCTCCTTGAAACACTGCACATTTCAGACTCTAGAATAAAACTTTTCTCCTAGTTTTCCATACCCTCATACAGTATCAAAGCACACATTAGCAAAAATGCTTATAAAAACACTTCCACCTCAAAAGGTTTTGCAAAAAAGTACAGTAAAACCTGCAGATGGCTCAGGTACTACAGTAGTGTTATTTGAATGATTAAAATACATTGTCGTTTACCCTGATCTCATGAGCACATGCATCATCATCTCTGTGAAAGTTTTAACAGCATGTAGAAAACTGAAATTGAGCTTTCATTTAAAACAGGATTTTGTACTTCAAACTAGTTTTGCATGAAAGAAATCGTGGAAATTGTAAAATGGCCAAAGACAAGCTCAAAACTTTTAAGTTACTCTAACCTGAGGAGATAGAAGCATAAAATTAATTCAAGTCTTTACATGGGAAACAGAATCTGTGCAAGAGCAAGAAACCCCACTGCACAGACTGCTTAGATATATATGAACTTTCTTCAGGATAGCTGGTATATTTACACAGCTCATTTGTCAGGTTCCAGAAGAAACACAGTCATGTTAGTAAGGTGCAACAGCTAACTGAGTTGTTTAAAATAAGACTGATGTAGTAGCATGGCTACCCAGCTTTCAAAACTGAACACTGTTTGGCACTTAAACATTTGTATAGATAAGGCGGGGACTCAAAATGTAGAGTTCAAAACCGTTGTTTTGGGTTATAATATGCCAGAGAAATTTTAGTCATATCATTGTCAAAGGACCTCACAATTAATATAAGGCACCAAGACAGCTCTACATCTACATGCAAAGAAGTATTTCTCTAAAAGCTGGGAGTGCCAAAACATACTTATGAGTATGAAAACCAAACACAAAGCAAATACACGTCCATCTGATGTCAAAGACAACACACCATTCATGTGGTCTATATTATTGTGTTGATAAATGCTTCAGTTTTAACTATTACACACTATAAATACAACAACACATCACTACCTGATTTGCCAAGCTCACAGCTTTCAATGCCTTGTCAAGATACAGATTGCAATCCCACTCGAAATAGGCTGTAGCCAACAACCGCAGCACTTTAGCCTGGAAAGAAAAACAAACTGGAAGTTTAAATGCCATGTGAAGAGAGAAAAAAATACAGCCGTGCATGAACATACAGATGGATACAAGACTTAAAAGATAAGATCATGAAAAATAAAAGTTCTTTGAGTCAAAAGAATGCCTGTCTGGCATCAGACATATCAGATGATTGCTCAGTTCTGAAGTGCATCCAATCTTCAGCACTGCAACTCACACAGGACATGAATCAACTAGAGTTCAGAGGAGAACAGAAGGGTAGCAGGGAAAATCAGAGGTCTGGAAAAACAGAGTGAAAGAAGAAATTGGAGGAACAAGAGGACAAACTTCACTGAGATGAAAACAAATAAACAAACACCACCATCACAAAGATATATGTGATAATTGCCTTCAAATAAGTGATTTATATAAAGAGGAAGAGATTAAAATCTTCTCCATATCCACTGTGGGTAGTAAAAGGAGTAGTAAGGCTTATGAATGTGGCAGACAAACATCTATCAGAAATGACACTGATGTAACTGATGATGCCTTGAAAGAAGAGAGGAAAGGGAAGAAGAAAGGGCTGTTCAGGCTCTACTTCAGCCTTACTCTCTACAGTTTAATTTCTGTGAAAAAATAGATTCAAATGTGATTTAAGGGCACCCATCAGTGGCTGAACTCTCAGACTGACACTCACAGCAACTGAACTTGCAACTCTGCCAGGCTTCCTAGCAGACAGTACTAAAGAGGCCAAAGGATCACTGGTCAGGTTTGGCACAGTAGAGGCCAATGATACAGTGCAGTCAGGGTAACAAAATCCTGCTACTGGTAAAAAGCAACTTCTCTCTTACCTGCATTTCTTTGCCAAGAGAATATTTTATGTCCATCTTCCCAATGTCATAGCTCTGGCTATCAATGGTAAGCAAAAGTTAGGATTAAACGAGAGGACAGAGAGAAATTCAGCCAGTCTTCTGACATGCGCAACATTCTTGTCTTTTCCCACTTCTTAACCAGTCAGAAGTCACAGAAATCATGCAAACTGATCTCAGTACTCACTGGAGAACAGAAAATTTTGTGTTCTTTCTAAATCCTCACATTAAAAATTGTACTCGATCACCTTCTCCAGCCTCTGCACCACCTTCTGCAACATGTGGTCAAATGTTTCAGTAGGCTTTATCAGTTTTAACTATAGGGGGCTTGAAGAAGCAAGTGTTCTCAATCTCACTTGACACATAATACGGGCATACACAAAATTATACATGACCTGCTCTCAAGATCACAGCAAATCAATAGCAGAGACAGAAACAGAACCTGGAGTTATGATTCCCCACTCTTTGCCTGGAAGTTAAATGACAGCACAAAGGACCACCTGGGAGAAAACACACTGGTAATTCCACAAAAGCAGATTCGATGGAAAATGCTGCGAATGAAGAACTGATAGAAAGAAAAACCACTAACTGGGATTTGTTTCCTAATTCAATATATGCTCAGTACAGGAAAGTCGGAGCCCACTAGATGGAGCCACAGCTCTTTCTCCAGATAATTAACTTTCAGCCTGGAAAGGTTATTTCCTCCTCAAATTCTGCCATCAGCACCACAAGAACGAAACAGAATCTCCACAGCATCAGCTTTCTAAGCATTTCTACAAATGCTCTTCGACAACATACGTGACCATAACGATTCTGAATGCGCTCTGCTGCCATTCATTTTCTCTGACTATTTGAAAGAAAAAGAACAGGAAGAAATAAAAACAAATTTTCTGAGCTGAGGCTGTGGCCGTAACATGAGGATACTCCTCCCCATACCCTACTTTTTTAATTCCTTAGTAGTACCTCATTACTTACTTGGATCCTACCCAAACCACCTCTAATTACTCCTTTTCACCTTGATGTTTCATCAGTCAAGGACTTACTCTCAATGAAGCACCTCCTTTATGAGAAATTCAAATGTTATTTAAAACAAATCCATTTTTAACCATTCTAAATAATTTGTCCTCTCTTTTCCAAAGTTTTCAAAACCCTTTACTACCATTTATGAATGGCACAAGAACTGGGAACAGCCTCTTCTCTTTGAAAGAAGTGTGAGGGAGAGAATTGACGAGAACCATGGGAAGACAGCTTTCGTTCTAATGACATGAAAATAAGTGTGGACAGCAGATATAAATGTTAGGCACCAGAATAAGACAGTCACTAAGTACCTGCTCAGCTCATTTGTTTCAGGTAAAAACTTGTATTCTCACATTTTTAGTTAAACCTCTACTTCTCCCTTGCCCCTTCCCTTCCCCTGACTTTTTTATGACTCAAAAGCAGGATTTTGTTTGCCTCCTCACATTACCTGAGCCAGAAGGAGCTCTGTTCATACCTCTTCAGTTCATAGCTTTCCACTCCAAAATTGTAACAGAGGATTGACAAGTAACAGGTCTGTAATGAAAGACTCCTCTTTCTATAATGTTCTCATAGAAACATCATGAGAGCTCTTTAAAATGCACTTTACTTCAAAGATATATCCAGTTACCACTTCTGACCTTATACAAGGGGATACTGAACATGACTAAAACAATCATAATTGTGTGGGAAAGTGAAGCATCAGTAACCAGTCCAGAACATGCAAACCAGCAGGATTCCTGAAGCACGTAAGGTAGAACAGTTCCTCAAGAAACCATGCTGAAGGCACTAGAGCTGTAAACCAAACAACAGATGTTAAAACTTGAGAGGGGGAAACTGGAATATTGCAACTTCATTTTTTTAAATGACAAAAGCAGCTTTCTAGAGGTCAGTGTTGTACTTCCCCCATGGAAGGCTCCTTCCCAGCAGGTCTCTTTGGGGTTAAAAAAACCTCATCCACATTTCAAGTTTTAGGAGAAAACTGGTTTTGAATGCTTGTCTATTCAGAGCACTGTACTTAATCAGTCAGCCCTGACAATGCCTGTTCATAACAACTTGTCTTTCCTCCAAAATGATCTGCAGCTGTCATATGTTGTCCAAAGAGACAGAAAATACATTTTATAATGCTAACAGGCTGCCATTATTTACATCCATTTTGCCTCCGCAGTAACTTGCTTTTCTGAGTATAAATGATGCTTCTTGCAAGTGACTCCAGATTTCAAATCCTCAGGCAAGAATGAGAGGTAGCACAGCATCTTGCTTCAAATTTGTTGTTTATCTCGATTCAATCCAGAGACAAAAGCACAGGTGCAGATGCATGAACCAAACCCCCATCGCTCTCAGATGTGAAACCCTTATTTTCATTAGTTCATTTGTGAACATTCTCTTTCCAGAGCAGAAAGGTCTATGTACTGAGAGGGTTCCATGCAATAATGCTGTAGGCATACTGTGGCATATCCCAGACACTTACCTGCATGCTTGGAAAAGAAGTATTTCAAATGATAATTAAAATCCTATTTCAGTGAATGACTGTGTTCCAGGTGTCAAGCCTAACACTAAATATCCCCAGAAACTTGGCACCTCTCTGAACAACAAGTGTTTGGAACAATTCTGGCATTTCACCTACAGGGCAAGAGGTCCCGGTTACGTTCCATAGATCACTGATGACCCACAAGCTGCAAGTCCTCTCCAGCTGCTCGGTGGTACCATAACACAACCACCTCCTTGCGATACTCTGCAAGGGCTCTCTGGTACAACAGGAGCCTAGAAGGGCCAAGGACTGAGGGCTACCTAGTGCTCAAAAAGGTTCAGAGTCACTCAGCCATCACCAGCTCTTCCTTCCTCCTCACTGTTTAAATACCACTCCTTAAGCCAGAAGTAAACTGTATCGCTCATGATCAGAAACCCTCTCCTTGTCTGCCATCAGTGCTCCTGGTTTGTGAGGAGCATTCATCATGAGAAGTTTAATATTATTTAATATTATTTAATGGAGGAGTTAAAGCAGAAAGCATTAATTTAAACTGAAATGATACAAAGATGCAGTGAGCTCTGCTTTGCTCTTGTGATTCAAACCAAAGCTGGACCCTGCAACTGCCTCAGTGCACTGAACAGCACCTGCAGATCACACAAAAAGAAAACCCAGCCCAATTTAAAAGTGGTTGGAGTTGAATCGATTAAAACCCAATTAAACTCCAACCAGATTTCCTGTATTTCCCTTTCAGAATCCAGGTCTACTCTTTATATTTTATTACCTATACCACAGAGACAGGAACAAAATGCTTCCTAAATACTGGGAAAATATTTAAGCAAGCAAATGAAAATGCATGTGGGGAAGTTTATTCTGATATAAACATACTAGTCTTTTATCTTTACCAACAAAGAACTCGTCTGTGTATGCCTGAGTTTATTTCTCTGGACATTGTTCTGTGACATAAGAACTACAAAACCCCTCAGTTTAGTGGCGTGGGAAGCCTCCATTCATAGCTCTACAGCTTCATGAAGATGAAGATTAGTACTGAGAGCAGTGACAGGCTTGCATATCAAAAACTCAGTGACTCAGCTCTTCGCTTGCCCCATCTGTCTCCAGACAAAAGTTCATGTGGGTACAAGTAAGGAAGATGAATGTAAGATCAAGCTGTAAAATGCAGCTGGTTCTGTACAAGAGTAGGTGACACATTCAATTTAGGCATCATTTTACCCTGCCTGCTGATTTGTCTTCTCTCATTCTTTAGGAAGAGTTTATCATTCTAGTTTGAATTATAAACTATGAGGAACAACAGCAACCAAAAAAAAAATAACTTTGAAGAAAAAAAAAGTGCTGGCTTCATGCAAAATTTTCAGTAAGAAAGTTCAAATAAGCAACCAATCACAGAAGAGAGAACACAGTTCAGGGTACTTTCCAGAATGCTATATGTTGTTCTTGAACATAGAGAGAGGAAAGCAGACTTGCCAAGTTTGGAGTGATAAAGAAGAGATTATTTCACTTACCTCTTTTGGCAAATTCATCAACATATCTTTGCAGCGCTGCACACACATCACTGCTTTCTGAAAATCCCCTTGAGCAACTCCCTAAGAAAGCAGTAGAGCATGCTAACAAACTGTACTGAGCAACACGCTTTAAAATCCACTAAAATAATGATTCTCTAAAAGAGGACTTGGGTTTTTCACATTCAGTAAGGCCAAGTTTGGGATTAGATATCTGTCCTTACAGTAATTCTGTTTATTTCTATATATTGCCAGATGATAAAAACATCCAGAAAAACACAGCAGCGCCTAGGTAGTGTGGAAAGGCCAGATGCAGGGAAGAATTAGAATCATACAATCACAGAATCCTAGACTGGTTTGGGTTGAAGGGACCTTAAAGCTCCTCCAGCTCCAAACCCTGCCACGGGCAGGGACACCTTCCACTAGAGCAGCTTGCTCCAAGCCCCTGTGTCCAACCTGGCCTTGAGCACTGCCAGGGATGGGGCAGCCACAGCTTCTCTGGGCACCCTGTGCCAGCGCCTCAGCACCCTCAAGGAAGAGTTTCTCCTTAGTACCTAATCTTCATCTCCCCTGTTCTTCCCAATGTTAAGGTGTTACAACAGTTCACCAAACCTTAAACCACCTCTCCAATAATTTAAGGTTCCCTTTTGCCTCCATGATCAAATTAAAAATTCTGGCCACTGCTTTGGCTGCTTAAGGAAGCTCTTCAGAATTTTGAGACAGTCCTCCTGGATACTGAGGTCAGTGCCATGACCAGCAAATGCAGGTAACTATGATTTCTATTTACACTCTTATGTCTGCAATACTCTGTACCATTGATAAAATACTCAGAAACTTCAGTCAGGCACAACACCTCGCTGTGATGAGTGTCCAAAGGGACTTGCCTTGCTGTGCACATGCTATGTGAATGCAGTCTGGGGGACCCTGGCTCTACACCAGCCCTATACCCCTTCTTCAGCCAAGCACAGGACACCTCTGGAACTGACTTATTTCTGATTCAGAAAGGCAGCTGTTTGCTTTCTAACAGCCATGTTAGCCAAATCAGAGAGCAACAAATCTGAACTAGCAGAAATGACTGCAATAAACAAGTGAAATTAAAAACCATTACATGATTGCAACACTGGATGCAAACACGAGATCTGCTATCTTACATCTAAGTGAAGGAAACATATCCCTCAGCAAGTCCTCAGTGCCAAGTATTCATACATCTCGGAGTTTCCCTCTATACCCCTAGTGACTTATAAGGAAAATTGGGAAGAACACATACTGATTCAGCCTGATAAGAAAGTACTTTGAAGAGGTGCTTCTCCACATCAGCTTTGTGCACATGAATATCTGCTTCACCATCGCTCCCCTCAAGTAACTTCGTATACAGTTTTTCTATACTCTAGAAAACAAAGTGCAGCATCACCCATGGAACCTACAAAGAGATGTGTTTATAAGAAATCAAAATTGGAAAAGAACTTACATTCATGGCAATCTCCAGAAACTCATCAGCAAGATCAGGCTTTCCAATATCTATCCATCCTTTTCCAGTTTTCATAGACATCTGAAGGAGAAAATTATATGTGCTTTGTGAAAGTAGTCACTTTCAGGAACAACTTTCAAGGCAATGTTAGATCTCATCTCGCTGATACACATATCTGAAAGTAAGAGAGGGCTGTTTCACCTCTCCACTTTCTGACAAGCACTTCTCATGCCTGAATGAAGTCCTGAACTTAGATGCAGCATAAGACATGGTGTCCTATTAGACAGTAAGATACTGAAATAAATGAATGTGCTGCTCATGTAACATTTTTCCATATGACAAAGCTGTAATGCCAACTGCACTGGCTCAGCAAGGTATCCCTGTGATAACACAGGTTCTCCTTTCAGTGTGTTTATTCCCCAGAAGCTCATTTCACTCCCCTTCCAAAGCAACCCAAACAGGGTTTGAAGGTTTCCCTTGGGGATCAGCTGTACTTCCCTGCTCACCCATCACTGGCCTTACCAAAATCTGTCTTCGGATAGTTGCCTCTGGAGGATCACTGCCTTCACAAAGGCACACCAACCTGCAGGCAACAAACCGTACTGCAAGAAAACAGGCAGACATTCCTGAGTTCACTGTTCCTTTGGGGTTTTTGTCCTTCAGAAAGTCAGGCCCTCTGTAGCTGAGAGACTGTTTGCTACTTTAAATTACAAGAGAGAAAATCTGAAAGCTTCAGGACTCAAAGCAGTCTGACTTTTAGCCAAGTTGCTTAAAACAGCTTTTCAGGCAGTAAGGAAAACAAACATATTCTCAGAATCACCTATTAGACACTTTAGAGAGAGTTTAAGTTAAATACACGATATTAAAAGACTTAATTACATTGCAGGTGCTTACAGTAACATGTCTTGAGAGTCTCAAAATAGCCTTCAGCAAGACAGGGAAATGAAGTTTAATAATCTACATTTTCAAAGAAAAAATATTTCCAGGCCTTCCTTATACATCAGCAGTGGAAAAGACATCACTTAACGTATTTAAAAAAAGCCTCTCCCTGGCCCTTCAGCTGTGATAGAAGATCTGAGAATACTACACTCTACAATTACTACTTATTTTGGGTAAACTTACCCTTTGCCTTTACCTGATAAAATGTATATAATGCAGATTATGCCTAATTTTGACTATAATCCCTCAAGACAAAATTGCAGGCCAGATGCTGCAATCCCGCAGAGCCACATAAAGAACAGGAAAAGACCAAAAGCTCACTTCTGCTTCCCCCCAGCCCTCCTCCAAGTAAATCCACCAGCTGTGTACCTGGCTAAGGCAGGGAAGTAGAGGATTTAGTTTTTCTGTATGATGAGATAGTTATACTAAATAAACAATTTCATTTGATGTAAATTAAGTGACCAACGGTCTAAAATTTATATGTTTTTTCCATAAATTTTTAGATTAAAACCATAGCATCAGAAGGCAAATTACAGCTTCCTTTGGTCACATCACGTCTTTACTGATGCTGGCATGGAAAGGGGGAATAAGAAGACCAGCACTGAACCTCTGTTGCAAGACGACTATTACATGGGGATGTTTCTTCCTAAACTGTTTACTCAAGGCCAGCTGTGTATTTTCCTCTGTCTACACCCTATCTGCAAAGATCCAAACAGGTCTACAACACCGCAAAGAGTTTCCTTTTCATGCTACAGCACACAAAACAGACTGAGGAAAGTATGGAACACATACATACGTTTAGCTCTTTGCTCATCATTGACAACAGAACCCGTGTGTTTGGTCACAGCCCAGTTCCACAGGCTTATTGCACCCTCTTCAACCTGAGTAGGAGAATTCCATTAGATTCCATTTTGTCCTGGATTTGGGTCACATGGAAATCTACTACTGGCAAAGGAGCCCTCTTTCTTGTGTATCACATAATGACCTGCCCATATGTTTGTGCAACTCCCTTTTACATTGGAGTCAAAGGTGTGAGTTTCCCATGAAACTGTTCTATGATCCCACAGGGAGATCTGAGACAGTGACCTGAAAACAGGCATGCTAAACAGACCACACAGCATTCCTTCAGCTAAAAGTATGGATCATTATTTTCCATAGGTCCGTCATGAAGGAGAACCCTAAGCAGCTGGCAGGAAGCACATGCTCTTCTCACAGGGATATTCCATCAGATCCATCCAGTCTTTTATGAAAGGCTATTTCACAGCAAAACATGACCTATCCATCTGGGACCAATTTTCTCACCAACATTCACAGACACAAAACGTGTGCAATAGCACATCACCAAACCCAACTGATTCACTGGCAGCTTTCAGGATACATCATGGGCATTTTGAACAAGCTTGAAAAGCTCGGAGGTTTTGGAAAAGAGCTCCAGGCATTGCATTGGGATGTGCAGTACAGCTTCACCTCTTTTGCCTATCAAAAAAGAAAACTAAGTAGTTTAATTATTTTAAATACCTCCATCAGGAAACTTAGCAAAGAACAAAGGCTACTGACTATATACTCTTGTTAAAAAGATGATTCAGTCTTACATCAAGGCAACAAGCTCCTTTAAAAACCCACCTTGAAGGGTTGCATTTCCATCACTTCTAATCCTTGTCTGTGTGGCAGATCTTGACTACAAATATGCTCTAACTAGGAGTCTTTTCATGGCCCCTTTAATTGAAGGGATCAGATTACAAATGAATGCTTTCTCCTTTCTTTCAAACTGACAGCCCAACTGATTCAGTAGGAATTGAAGGTCACCAGTTTTATGCCCCTGTATTTCTTTACAGACTGCACCAAGAATTACTTTCTGTTTATTGAACTTGCAAGCCTGTCCTGCTCCTGTCACAAACACACAACTTTTAAAATCCGGCTTGCTTTGACAGTAATTGCTCCGAGTTAAATCTCTTTCCAAAATACAATTATGGAGGAAAAGGTTGGGCAATATCCCACCAGCCTTGTTTTTATTTCAGAACTATGTACTGCTCTTTTAGAGAAAAACCTTCTGAAGCTGACATTTACTGTTTTATAAGCACTCCTCTAGAAGAAACAAGTAACAGAACCCCAGACCGATTTTGTGTTGGAAGGGGCCTTACATCTCATCCAGCTCCAACCCCTGCCACGGGCAGGGCCCCCTTCCACTAAAGCAGCTTGCTCCAAGCCCCTGTGTTCAACCTGGCCTCGAACGCCGCCAGGGATGGGGCAGCCTCTTCCTCAAGCACCCACTATTGATATGGGAATCCACGCACAGGGTGAGCAAGACCTCTCCCCTCATCCAGTACCAACGCCTCAGGGCACAGCGCTCCCTGCTTGTGTTTGGACTTGAAATTACAACCAGACACTACTAGAAAAGTGGAGTAACAAAACCGCTCAACATCACCACGGTACCAGTAACGCCTCTCGTCATTATGCACTTTCACACCTACGATGAACATGGTGCCTGCACAACACTTTCCACTTTATTTCGGCCTTCCAAGCTCTCGGGTTGAAGAGATGCAAACCCCGTTCTGTTCACTTTTCCGCAGCGCTGAAGCCACGGGTTCAACCGGGCCGCAGAGGCAGAGCCCCCGGCCACCAACCTGGGCGAGCGCTGCCGCGGGCGGGCCGGGAGTCCGCGGCTCCAGCTCAGCCGCTCCCCCGGCCTGCTCAGGGGCGCTCCTCGCCGCCTGGAACAACTCCTCGGTGAGGGCGGCGATGCGGGCCGGCGCCTCCTCCCTCAGCAGCTCCCGCACCAGCCCTTGAACACAGGACGGGAGCGGGGAGGCGAGGGAGGGCCCAGCGCGGGCGGCGGGGCCCGCGGGCCCGCCCTCGGTACCTGCCGGGGCCGCCAGCCGCACCCCCGCCATGGCCCCGCGCGCCCCACACCGGCAGCCGCCGCTGCGGGAAAGGCGCGGGGCATGCCGGGACGGGCTCAGCGGCCGCGCCGAAACCGCGCTTCCGACGGCTCCGCGCGCCCATTGGCTGCGCGCCGCTACCGCCCCGCCTCCCCGCCCCGAGCGACGGGCGCTGGGGCCAATCGGGCTGCGTGGCGGCGGCGCGGGTGGTGCGGTGGTCGCGATGGCGGCGGGGGGAGAGGGCTCGAGGAGCGGGCGCAGCGCCGTTTCGGGGCTGCTGAGCACCACGCTGAGCGGGCTCAACAGCGACTCCTACTGCGAGATCAGCCAGTACCGCGACCAGCACTTCCGGGTGCGCCCGCCGCGGGGCCGGGGCGGGGGGGCGGCGGGGCTGGGGAAAGGCCGTGCAGCGAGCGGGGGTGACCGGCGGGGCCTGGCGCCGTGCTCACCGCTCTGCGCCCTCCCCTCCGCCCTCAGGGCAGCCGGCAGCTGCAGGAGAAGTCCCTGAAGGTCTCCTCTACGCTGTATGTGGGTAACCTGTCCTTCTACACCACCGAGGAGCAGATCCACGAGCTCTTCGCCAAGTGCGGAGACGTCAAGAGGATTGTGATGGGGCTGGACAAGATCAAGAAAACCCCCTGTGGCTTCTGCTTTGTGGAGTATCCTTTGCGGTTCCCTGCCGCAGACAGCCCGTGTGCGTGGTTGCCACCTCGGGTTCCTCCCTGAGCTCTTGCCTGGCCAGGGCAGGTGTTCACTTTCTCACCTTAACTTTAGACCTGAGCGACGTAGCAGGGTAAGCCATGGCAGCATTCCCAGGCAGAGGGTGCACGCTTGTACAAGTCATACCCTGAACTGTCTTTGCTCTCCAGTGAGGCCTGCCCCTCGTGTTCAAACTCAGTCAAGTTTCACAGAGTATAAGAGACATTTTACAGGTTTCTTGCCCTTAGCAAAGCTTTAACACGTTTGTTTCATCTACTTTAGAAATAAGCGATCCTAAGCTACTTCTTGTCTGTGCAGGTACTAGCATTCACGTTCAGAATCCTGGCCAAGTGGGAGCTATTTTTAGCTTGGGCTTATATGAATACAGTATTTGATCCCATAGAGAAGAGCAGTTTGAGAAGGAAGAGCTGGAAGGCACGAGTTTTCTGCCTCTCAGATAAAATAGTTTCCTTTTATTATCCTTGTACCCAACGAAAGAGTGCTTATTTCTCCTTATAGTATGCTCCAGGTACTACACAAGAGCAGATGCTGAGAATGCCATGCGCTTTGTCAACGGCACACGACTGGACGACCGCATCATTCGAACTGACTGGGATGCAGGGTTTAAGGAAGGGCGACAGTATGGAAGAGGAAAGACTGGAGGACAGGTAAAGGCAATCCCAGTTCATACCTTGAACTTGATCCCCCTCAGAGTGTGCTAGTTTTGTGTCATGCAGAAGAGTGTGTAGGCTGTAAAGACCTGACGATGAACTTTAGCCACTCCCAGGTTGTTTCAGTAACTGATGCCTGGTGTTAAAAGCTAGCGATGGAACTTAAGGGCATTTCTTTGTAGGACTCCAAACTTCCTGCAATGCAAGCAGAATGGCACCTACATTCAAGCTAGCATTCTTAAAATTATGTAGATTTGCATGGAGAGGGACAGTGCAGCTACCAGGCTAATATCATCATCCAGTGGGCTGCCCCAGTGCAGAAGTGAGATTCCTTTGCAGGTTTGGAGAAAAAAATATCCTCAGTGTAGGGGAGAAAATATCCTGGAAGCCATGCTTGGCAATCCAGAAAGCAGGATCACAAAGCTGAATAAAAATATTTTGCGATTTTGGTTGCTGCTTGTCCAAATTAAAGACCTCAGCCATCAGATATATCCTCACCATTTTCATCACAATTACCACCTTTTTATAGATTATTTGAAGAGATTTCAAATGAATCAGAGTACTTCTAACCTGAACTTTAGTTCTCCACCAGCTGAGCAAGGAGGGGGTGATGATCCTGAAGCCTAGCAGGAGACAGGCAGTGCACGATGCTAATACCTGTGTTCCTGCTGTGCCCCAGGTGCGAGATGAGTACCGGACAGACTACGATGTTGGAAGAGGTGGCTTTGGCAAGATCGTTCAGATGCAGAAGGCGAGTCATCAGCCTGCAGTCTATTAGTTGCCTCATGGATCCTAGCTCATAGAGGGCTTTGTCCTTCCAGAGCTAGCCCTGTTCTCAGATTTTGGATTGGGGTAGGGAGCGAGATCCAAGTTCCAGCAAAAGGTGACCCTCCTTAGTCTGTGGATGTACGTGTATTCGTTCCCCCTTCCTTCTGGGCTAGAGAGGATGTTCTGTGCTGGTACAGGACAACAAGGGGAAAAAATGGAGGATTCTGGGTGAGAAGAAATGCAGCATGTCCCACACACCTTGTGCTAGGGTAGTCTTCACATTGCAGCTCAGCATGTGGCTTCCTTCCAGCTGTGACTGCAGCCATGCTTTCTCTCATATGAAACTTAAAAGCTTACCACCATCAGAGCTCTCCAGGTGCCTGGGCACCTTCTACAGGTAGATAAGAGATTGGGGTTTCTAATTTACAACCTCACCTGCTTACAAAGCAGTATTGCTCTTTGGCTGAGAGAAGTGGAACAAGGTATTATCATCCTCTTGGAGGTGCTTGTCTGCACATTTAGCCCCTGGGTTGGTCAGGGCCTGCAGAGCATTTATCTTTGTGATGCCCAGAGTGCTGTGTGGCTTTTCAGATCCTCAGTGTTCGTTGTGATTTTGTTAAAAGTGGCTTGTAATGTTTTAAATAAACAGTTGGAATGTATCTGGCTGAGATGGAGTTAATTCAACCCCTAGCAGCCCTCATAGTGCTGGGCTTTGTACTACTAACTAGGTGTTGACAGCACACCAGTGTTTTGGCTGCTGCTGCTGAGTGCTCCCCAGCATCAAGGCCATACATCCAACATTCCTCCATCACCAGAAGGCTGGGGCTGGGCAAGATCTTGGGAGGGGACAGGGTCAGGACAACTGACCCCAACTGACAAAAGGGAATAAATTCTTCCCTGTGAGGGTGCTGAGGCGCTGGCACAGGGTGCCCAGAGAAGCTGTGGCTGCCCCATCCCTGGCAGTGTTCAAGGCCAGGTTGGACACAGGGGCTTGGAGCAAGCTGCTCTAGTGGAAGGGGTCCCTGCCCGTGGCAGGGGTTGGAGCTGGAGGAGCTTTAAGGTCCCTTCCAAAAGAAACCAGTCTGTGGTTCTATGATACTCCATGCCATATGACATCTGCTCAGCAGGGAAAGCTAAGAGAAAGGAGGAGAGGAGGGATATTCATTGTTACTATGTTTGTCTTCTGGAGCAACTACTATGCTTGCTGAAGCCCTATTTCCTGAGAATTGTCTGGACGTCACCTGATGATGGGAAATAAAGAATAAATCTCCTGTTTTCCTTTGCTTCTGCACACAGCCTTGTTTCTGCTTTATTAAACTGCCTTTACCTTGATCCACAAGTTCTTTTCCATCTTAATTTCTTCCCGTCTGTCCTGGGAGCAGAGGGGAGCAGCTTGGTGGGCATCTGGTGAGCAGCCCAGGGCAGCCCACTGCTGTCCTTTTTGGTGCCTAACGTGAGGCCTGAGGCAAGGGCAGTTCTGTACCCCATGGGCTATAGCTGCAGCAGTTACTCAGGAGCAAGCCTCTGTGCGGCTCACCAAGTTTGTTGACGGCTGACTTGGGAACGTGTTGGTACAAACATGGCTCTGTGCTTTGCCCTGGCACTGGTGCCTTCCTGTGTGGAAAGGATGAGGGAATACATCTGCCTCTTCCTACCTGGGATTCATGTGGGTGGTTTTATTACACAGGCTCCTGGAGTCCTTGCTCACCCTTACATAAGCTGTTTGATACCACTAACACGCTACAGGGTTTGTGGAATCTGGTCATCCTTGGGTGAGGCAATACTGGAGCGTGCGTGCCCTGAGGTGGCTGGTCTCTGGGTGCAGGGCATGCAGAAGGGTTTGGGCAG